TCATACAATAAATTATTCTCATTATTTATCTGTTTGTTTATACATTTATTTGCTGAGTCACTATATACTCAGTTGAGCTAGTAGGCCTAACCTCTGATCAGTTGGTTGGTTATTCCCAAAGTGGGGTTAGTACAGTCCCGGCCACGTAAAGAGAGAAAATGTCCAGGTAGACCCGGTCAGGCCTAATCCGCCGTTGTCAAAACATAGCTATTGTTTTGAAACCGAGGGGGCGCGCTACCCCATCCCAGCGGTCATTGCTACAGCCTCCCTTTTAATTCTTAGAAATAACTCGGGCCAGTACAAATTCTATAAATCGAACGGGTGATCGCCTATAATTTAGTGACAGGTCATTTTATTCACAAAGTGAAGACGAATATCACAAAATTTGAATCGCAATTCTACGTCGCTTCGTTGATTGGCTAGTCGATGTTGAGAAGCAGCAGGCAATGACCGCTGAGGTAGCAATGACCACTGGGAGATTCCTGGGATGGGGTAGTGCGCCCCCTCGGTTTCAAAACAATAGCTATGTTTTGACAACAGCGGATTAGGCCTGACCGGGTCTACCTGGACATTTTCTCTCTTTACGTGGCCGGGACTGTACAGTACGAGTACATTAATTTTTGTATTTCACAAAATGGTTAAGAATGTTGAGTAGAAATGCATGTACCATTTAAGTCCTAATGATTTTTAAGTACAATTTATTGTCATTTTTACCTCCAATTAATAGGTTTTGTTACCTGGAATCATAATATTTGTACATTCATTACTTAATGACTTTAACCTACAAATACTTGTTTTCTTTTTACAAACATGTTTATTTTTCTAAAAATGGTCCCAGAACTGAATTAAATTATACTTTTGATTGCATATATTGATTACCTGTTATTATTAGGTATGAATTATCATTTTCATAGTAGGTTGGTTTATCCGGCCAAATCGTTATCCGGTCAGGGGCTTGGTCCCGTGGTGGCCGGATATGAGGGGTTCTACTGTATTTTGTATGAAGTGGAATAACCTCAACGGCCACTCTTAGAAATCAACCTGGAAATAAAGATTAAATATGTTAGGTTCGTACCTAGGCAATATTTATGAAGTAAGTATAGTACTATGACAAGTTCCAATGGGTGGAAAAACAATATTGTTTCGAGGGGATTTTAACTAGGTTCAAATCTATTCACTGTTCACTGTTCCCGGTCGTTTCTTGGTGCGCGTGCCTTCTTCGGTGGACCTGCGTGCGCAACTACCCTAACCGCGTCACGTGTCTTTGCAAGTATTTGTAGCGGGCCGCTACATCCTCCCCCCCCAGTGGGTTGCTTTTTTGGGGTTGGTTTTGAGGTTGGGAAAGATGAGTGGGTGGTTTTTTTTATTGTTATTTATTGTGCTCTTCGTGAGATTGTCTCGTTCTGACATCGTTGGTGTGTTAATGTGTCTCAACAGTTTTCTGCACTCCTTTTGGTTTTGCTCATTTGAGGTCATAATGTGTGTTGGTGCTTCTTGTAACTATTAACTATTTTTTTTACCTAAACTAAAGGTAACTATGGTTTTGGGAGTTTCCTTAATCTCTGATCTAAAATGTGGGCGGGCATATATCAGTGGGCATATAATGTGGGAAGGGGGGGGGATCAGTGATAAATTGAATTATATTGGGGTTGATGAAGATCTGTTTGCTAGTGAAGTTGGATATATGGTTGAGGTCGAAGCATTTTGGAAGTCATTTTGTAACAATTCAATGGAGACGACGATGATGTCATTGATGTCTACAAGGCCGCGGGAAATGTTCATGATTTTGCCGTGATCGCGGACGACGACGATCGCGTTTCTGTAACCGCTGCAGTCAATGATGATGTCTAAACGTACGGTACGTGGAAGATTTCATGAAAAATAAAAATTTGCTAGTTTGAATTTTTTATTGCTGCATAATTTCTTTACTTGAAAACACCACATTATCATAATACTACTTTAAGACAAAGACAGGGGTTGGTGTAGTATTATTCAGAAAATTTTGTTAAGCTATAACAATTGGTATCGGTATCAAGAATCGAGAATTGATACATTTTGGTATCAACACGCACTAATTGTTGAAAAAACTAGTCTTGAAAAATCTGGAATTAGTCTTGAAAAGTCTGGAATTAGTCTTGAATTTTATAATGGAAATAAACTAGACACCCTGAATTCAATATTTTCAATACGGTAATACTTTTTTAATAGAATAATTTAATTTCCACCATTTGTTTTTCATTTTATCTAAATGTCAATCCCTTTTCAAACCATATATAGTAATTAATTGTCCATGCAGACCAATAGGTAATCAATTTAATACAATATATAATATAGAAATTTCAAATAACATAATTTCATGTAAATATATAATAGCCTAGGCTATAACTTTTGTAACAAAATTGCTTCAAATTCAATATAATTTTATTTAAATAACTTTTCAAAATTATAATATAGCTCTATAGCAAATGAAATTTGTTATAATATATATGTGTAAACAGTGGCCTACAATTTTATGTGATTAAGTCAGCATTGACATATGTGAGTGCAACAATGCATCAGACCATCATCACTTCCAATAGAGACAAGATAGTATGAAGATGTAAATTGGATACTACATATTTAATATCAACATTTTATAAAAAAAAGTGCATTATTCGGACAAAATTAGTGGAATTTGTTGAAAGAAGACCCATCCTTGTTACGAACATTAATCATTTATAACATCAAGAATTTTACTACAAAGAAGACATCAATTTTGGTGAGATCACTCCAATAGACATTTGTACTCAAATTCAAAGTCAAGAACTAATAGAAGCTTAACTTATTCAGAACTATTATTAATTCAACCAATCTATAATTCGAACATACTTTATTTTTTTTAAAACAAAATTTAATTAGGCTTATATCACAACATTAAATTCAAATGCCGCTCGATCACCCCACCTGAGATAAAGATCCTTGCAGTAAGTTATAACTCTTGAACCTAAATTAAAACCATTGTAATAGGCCTAGCCTAAAGATTTTAAAGTAAATTCATTTCCCACTGTTTGTACAATTTATTGTGAACCGTTTTCTTTTCTTTTACTATCAGTTTTGTATTATAATTAATAAATTTAAGTTTCGATGTTGTACATGGAGTAACCATTGTAGTCTTAAGTTTAAGGTTGATTACAATTTTATTCCATATTCAAACAATACAATATTATTGTGATTGATTTTGTCAAAAAATAACTACATCCTAATTTTGGCAACATTGTAGTTGACAAGAGACAACATTGCATGCTATAATATTCCGGAAGGTTATTGAAGTGTTGACGATTGTTGAAGTTTGATGGATGAAGTCTAGTAATTGCTGGTGAATTTTGAAGGTTGCTGAAGTTTGATAAGTTTCTTGAAGTAGGGTAATTGTGAGTTGTTGTAATTGTTATACACTGAAGTTCTTGAAGGTGTATTGTTGTGACATAGTCTCTCAATTAGCTCTTGACCTCTTACTAAGTACGGGGCTCTAATTATATTGCTGATCGTCTCTTTATGTTGGATGAAATGCGTTGGGTTTTGAAGTTGGTGTCTGGTTGATGATACATTGTTTTAGAGGTGAAATTGGAGATTGTTTTGATTGATTTTTATTTATTTTGGTTTTTGTTATCACTGATATATATTCCCTAAATATTCTGAAAAATTGATCGCAACTACTCTACTTAAAGATACTTTTGATACTTATAATCTAAAAGATTTTATTAACAATAAAAGAAGGTGTCCTACCTGATTAACAATTAAATTTAATTTACTGAGGGAAAAAGAAAAATATATATATACTAGCTGACCCGGCGAACTTCGTATCGCCTAAGTTATAGGTTTCCCCTAAGATAGACCGATGGAAAGAAAGTACCGTTACGTTTAATTTTCAAGATGATCTCGTTCGCATCGCTCAATCACGTCCTGGTTGAAGTTCGTTCGCTACGCTCACTCACCTTTGGGCTGGAGCTCGTTCGCTACGCTCACTCACCTTTAGGTTGGAGCTCGTTCGCTGCGCTCACTAGCCTTCAGGTTAGCTCGTTCGCTACGCTAACTCGCCTCCAGGTTGAAGTTCGTTCGCTACGCTCACTCACCTTTGGTTTGGAGCTCGTTCGCTACGCTCACTCACCTTTAGGTTGGAGCTCGTTCGCTGTGCTCACTTGCCTTCAGGTTAGCTCGTTCGCTACGCTAACTCGCCTCCAGGTTGAAGTTCGTTCGCTACGCTCACTCACCTTTTGGTTGCAAATTAGCTGTTGTCATAAATGTAAAAGAAATAATAGTGCTGCACCCTGTTGGTAATCCTTGTAACTTTAATGCTATTGAACATCATAGAACAGAACCAACTTGTTTAATTGAAACAGCTGTTAAGATTCATTAATTCCATTCCTCATAAGGTTAACATGGGAAACTCCAGAGCCACTGGGGCGGAGCCCTTTTAAGAATTTCGAAACGGGAAATAGTTTACGTCCGATTCACATACCTACAGAATTTACACACCAAATTTCATAACGATCGGTGAAGTCGTTGCAGACAAACACTGTGACACGAGAATTTTATATATTAGATATATCTAATGTTTTTCTACTTAAATGCTATGTATTTGATTGACTGGGTGGTGTATTACTAAATTTATATTGATTTACTTGTATTTATTAACTAACTAGTTGTGACACACATTTTATACTCTTTCGGTTTGGATGCTTATCGTGGTTGTGATTCTTAGCCTAGATGCAAAAACTGTATTTAACCTCAAGACCTAGGTTCTTGTAAGTTACCTCTTTAAAAATAGTAAAAATGTAAGTTGGTGATGAACTTCAATATAAACTGCTGTTCCTGTATTGAAAAAGGCTGCATAGTATCAATTTTACAATTAATTTAGTATTAGGCAAATTTAATTTTAGAATTCAAATTACGTTTGGATTAGTCAACACTTTTGAGATACCTGAAAATAGTTTCTTTTTGTTCACTTAGATGTTTATTTTCAGTCACCAGGAGATATTAACAGCCGTTGGCAGCACGATATGTACGACGGACCAGCGTTCAACAGACGCACTGCAACATCAGGATTGGCTGGTGGTCCTACAAAACTTCTTGTTTCCAACCTTGACTTTGGAGTATCCAATTCAGACATTCAGGTCAGTAGACTTATGGCGTTCTGTATTAGTGAGGAAATATCACCATATATAAAACATACTCCCTTAGTAGATTAGTCATCCTAATGGAACAGCTGAAGCCAATTTGATTGTTAGTTCTGTACGTCCAACTACATAGGTTATGTTTTGTTTACAATTTGTTTCTTGTTATTGCAGTCATTTGAAACCTCGTTTAACCTAATAAAACGATATAATCATAAACAATAACTGATCTCCTAGTTATATAACCAAACAGAAAAGAAAAAATCGTGAAAATAACTCTAAAATAATAGAAACAAAATGTTGTCTACACTAGCGATCAGTGTGGACGTACATGAACTAGAAAACTAACCTGCATCAATAATGGCCTGGTTCTACGTCACTAGACAGCAAAAAACCTTAGTCGAATCAACTGCACCAGTTTAGTTAGAATCACGTATTTAACCTTTTTTGATGTCAACTAACAGGTCTACCAACATTCATTTTTTTCCAAAATGAAATATGTATGTCTAACTTATATGTATAGTTTTCATAATTATTGTCGTGTCGGGTTGTAACTGGTATGGAAATATTTAGAATTTAATACCGCATTATTTGATGCAATTTAATATTATACTCCGTATATATAAATATATATAATGCGCTTTTTACGTTCACCGGTTTAGAGTCGGACACTTCCAGCATTCTACTCCGTGGCAGCGCTTGTCGCCCGGTGACTGCTCGAACATTGGATTCCCGCCCAAAATTACGCGCTTTCTTTACTACCTTACCTACCCGTTTTGGTTATGTTATGTTACGTCTCCAACTCTTCATATTGTATGGTACCTAGTTTATGAAAGTTATTAGTTTTTTCGCTGTGATTCATCATGAGTGCTTCAAGATTACAATTAATTGAAGAAGCGGTGAAGGAAGTGAAAGAAAAGAGACTGAGCATAAGAGCTGCGGCAGAGAAATATGGTTTGCCGAAATCTACTAATAAGCGACCATGTTACTGGCAAACATAAAGGCACCCACAGAAGGCAGCCAGTATTTACTACAAAAGAAGAGCAGGTGATGGCAGCCCACATTGAGAAGGTGGCGGAATGGGGATTTCCGTTTACAAGACTAGAGATTAGATTTCTAGCAAAACTCTACCTAGACAAAGATGGAAGGAATGTAGAAGTATTTAAGGACAATTTTCCCGGTGAGGATTGGGTGGATGGCTTCATGAACAGGAACCATGATCTTCGTCTGCGGATGTGCAGAAATATAACATTTCGACGAGCAAAGGTAAGAAAATTTCATAACTAGGCCTTCCCAACTAGGCCTACCTAACTAGGCCTACCTAACTAGGCCTATCTAACTAAGCCTACCTAACTAGACCTATCTAACTAAGCCTACCTAACTAAGCCTACCTAACTAAGCCTACCTAGAGGGTTCTCAACTCGTCGAAGAGTGCAATCTCTTTGATGCTCGCCGGCCGTGCGACTGGAGAACTACTTCCACCCATGGTCTGCTACAAAGCAGAACGTCTGTGGGACTCGTGGGTCGTTGGGGGTCCAAATGGGACCAGATACAACCGGTCGAAGAGTGGGTGGATAGATAAGACCACATTCACCGATTGGTTTAAGACCATCGTTTTGCCTTGGGCCCGATCCGAAGAGGGCACCAAGGTTATGATCGGTGACAACCTGTCCACCCATTTTTCACCAGAGGTAATAAACCTTTGCAGTGAAAACAACGTGTTGTTTGTTTGTCTTCCTCCTAACGCAACACATCTGTTACAACCGCTGGACGTTGCCTTTTTTAGGCCTCTGAAACGTGCCTGGAGGGACATCCTTTGCAAATGGAAGCTAAATGCGGATCGTCGGCTCTCCAACCTGCCAAAAAACCATTTTCCAACCCTCCTGAAAGAACTGATGTCTGCGATCTCTTCAAACGCTGCGAAAAACCTTTAAGCGGGATTTAAGGCATGTGGAATTGTACCATTAGATGCCCAAGTGGTTTTAAACAAACTACCAACCACCACACAACCAGAAACTCCGACTAAAAAAGCCAAAAATTTGGTTGGAGAAGGCGTCATCGAGTTACTATCAAAGCTCAGATATGAAGCACCAGGCGCAGGCAGAAGGAAGGTAAAAAAAAGACTCAATGTTACACCAGGGAAAAGTGTATCCCAAGATGACGTGATTGAGAACTCAATCCCTACAACTTCTACTGACCTCCCATCTGACTTGTCTCCACCCAGGAAGCAGAGGAAGCGGAAACAAATCGAAGACGAATCAGAGAGCTCAAACCCTGATGACAATCTTCTTTCGCTAAAGGAATTCTCAGACAAATTTAATGAAGATCCGCCAGAGGACGCCGAACATTTAGTCTTCAAAGACCCCGAGGTCGGCGATTGGCTATTAGTAAAGTTCCCCGCAGTGGCGTAACAGCCGCCCCCGCGGTGCGGGGGGGCCCGCGAGGTTTAGGGGCCCGCGAGGTTAAGATACCCTTTTCTCATAAAACCGTCCGTAAAACCGATCCTTTGTTCACGAATGTTTTTCTCTCCTGACAAATTATAAATAAAAAAACGATGTGTTGGTAGATACTTTTATTCTGCCAAATCTACTAAAGTTTTATCTTTTAATTAACAATATTGTTAACGAAACGCCAACGCTCACTACGATCACCCGACGATGTGTATTGTCAGTGTGGTTGTGTAGCTTCATGCTAGCGCTAGGAGCTGTGTGCCTGCCTGCCGGCCTGCCGCCGCGCCGTGGCGACACACACTCGGAGCCAGCCTCTCCGCCTCCCCCCTCCCCCACTAACCGCTCACGTGTACTCAGCTGACCGTAGATCACCTGATTTTGGAGATCCATTCCATGCGGATTTCCATGTGGAAATTTTTTACAATTTTAAAATTTATGATTTTTAATATGTAATCGTTGAAAATATTATCTAAAAGACACTAAGAAATTGATATTTATAATAGTACTCTATGTGTAAATAAATACCCCCGCCGCAGTAAACCTGCCAACTAAGTGAATTTCCATTTGCCTGGATTGATTTTTAATTAATTTGTTAAAATAACATAAGTAGTGCATGTCGCGAGAGTTTCTCAATCAGGTGTCATGTCATTAAATTGGGCTAATTTAGTGAAGCACTAACATTTACAGTCGGGACCACGAAAGTTTGCAGTTGGCGGCAGCCAATCACAAGACTAGTGCGACGTTGCCACATCGCCCTTTGACGACACTAATTAAAATACTAAACAATATTTTAAAAACAGCTGGTATTATTCGATTTGGCAACACCGCACTGCCCTCATTGGCTCATTTGAAGTCAAATGGTAAATATGCTACTCCCTCAACTGCAAACTTTCGTGGTCCCGACTCAAATTATAGTTGGAAGCTTGGTTGAGTTTAGTAATGAATGTGAATGGTGGAGTAATGGAGTAGCCCATATATATTAATCACGGACATAACTCCCAAGTTTATTATCACTGTGACAGTGACAAAATATAAAATATGTTTCAAGGACGACTCTGGTCGTGTGGTTGAAGAATAGGTAAATACTTGATATTGCTAGAGACCATCCTCTGCCAGTCTGATCGTGTAGGCCGTATGCCTGCCGTCACCTACGTCATGTGATAGTTGTGGTGTGGTGATGGTTGTGGTATATAGTGCTGTGGTGGGGAATGGGAGGGGTAGTAGGGGGCCCACACAGACATATTTGCGGGGGTCCCGGGGAAATACTGTTACGCCACTGGTTCCCCGGGAAGAAATCAGTAAAGTTTTATGTGGCCCTTGTAGAGGGTAAAGCCATGGAACTATTTGTAAGATGTGCCCGAAATGTGGAGAAAGCCAGTTTCAAGTGGCCAGATCCAGAAGACAGGTGTTTCATAGACTATGACCAGATCGAAAGAAGGCTCGAACCACCGAAATTTAACTACAAAAATGACAGGCTTGTCTCTTTTTCCTTTAAGAACTCGTTTTCTGGATATAACGTTTGTTAAAGACTTAACGTAACAACGGCTTCTACGCCATTTTGTGCCTAGTGTCAATTTTTCAAATGTTTGTAACAACGGCTTCTACGCCATTTTGTAGGCCTAGTGTCAATTTTTCAAATGTTTGTTTAAACTTTAAAACCATATACTGTACCCGTAATAAATAATTAATTGTTTGTTTGAACTGTTTTGTTTAATATCCTAATCTGTTGTCATTGACTATTACAACTCCACATGTATTTATTTATGCTTTTGGTTCCTATTTTATCTTAATCTATGCTTAAAATATTGAACCCCTTAAAATGTGATGTTATTTTAGAGTTCCTTGACTAACTTACCTTACTAACAACATTTTACACGTCATTGATATGTTAAAAGACATCAGACGACTCAAAGCACTGTCCAAAACCGGACAGGAGAGGTTAGTTTGCAGGATTTTAGCATTATTAAATACGTGTCCGACTTAACCCCGATTGGGTGGGTTGACCCGGACACTTTATTTTATTTTATATTTAATTAATGTTAACATCTAAAGAAAGATCTGGGTTAAGGAAATAATAAATGAAAGACGCTCTTCAAGATGGTAATATTTTTACTGTCGATATTCAAAACACAAAGTCACTATAACCTAAAAATAGCAAAAAAGTGTCCGGATCAAGCCTGATTTACGGTATTTAGCTTTCAGAATGTCTGCTCATATAGTCATAAAAACAGGGTAAAAATGCTGGTTGTTATCTTCTGGTCGCGCATGTGAGCTTAAGTTTGAACAAAAAATGAAAAACTCATATTGTATCAGAAATTTTTTACAATTTTAAAATTTATGATTTTTAATATGTAATCGTTGAAAATATTATCTAAAAGACACTAAGAAATTGATATTTATAATAGTACTCTATGTGTAAATAAATACCCCCGCCGCAGTAAACCTGCCAACTAAGTGAATTTCCATTTGCCTGGATTGATTTTTAATTAATTTGTTAAAATAACATTTATGTTTATTTATAATGGCTGACGCCAATACGTAAGAAGATTAAGATTTTGATACAATTAAAAAAAAAAATAACAGATGTAAAATGTGAAACAATTCAGATCAGTTACAAGTAATAACATTTGACAACAATAATTGAACAACATATACAAATAACGATAAATAGCAACAATAATACAAGTTAACAAACAGGAATAAGTTAACAATAACAATTTCTAATTCAAGAAAATTTTTAATATGAATTTGTGTGCAAAAACAGAAACAAAATTTTTGCATGAACCATAACAAGCAAATTAACAAACCAAACATAACAGAAAAAATGCGAACAATCAGCCGTGATAATTTAACAAAACCAGATAGGGCAGGTAAGAAAATTTGCCTAATGAAATTTTGTGTTTTGAGGGTCAAAAGTAGAAAAACCAATTTTTACCCCATAAAACCCCCCGTAAAGCCCCGTTCCCATGGTCCGATCATGCTGGATCGCGAATTCATTCAAGTTTATCCCGCTTTACACCTTTAAACCAAATTTCATCAAAATCGGACAAAAATTACTCGTTATCGCGTTCACGGACGTATATATATATATATATATATATTAATAAATGAAATAAATAATTAAACATTTAGTACCCTTTTTTTAAGTTATTAATTTATTGAATAAACACAATTTTATACATATATAAAAATTTGAACAAATGGTGTTTTTGGCCTCTGGGGACATCAAAATGAAAAAGTAAATCGGTCCCGGGTCTAGGTCTTACCTACGGTAATAGCTACTTCCCTATAGGGAAATTCGCTAATAAAAAGCCTATGTTAACCCTATCCTCCAGGTTAAAAATGTCAATTAACTTTCCAACTGTTATGTTCCAGGAGCTGTTCACAGAGTTTGGCCCCATACGAAGCGCCAATGTAAACTATGACAAGTCTGGGCGATCCATGGGTTCAGCCAACGTTTTGTTCGAACGCAGATCTGATGCTGTAAAAGCAATGAAGCAGTACAACGGTGTTCCATTAGATGGTGAGTAGGAAATACCTTAGATGCAGCAAATCTGCTGACTAGGTGAATTTCAATCTGTCCCATTAGATTCTTAACATATTTCTTTAACCTGTCCCCTACTATTCCCTACTATCCCCTAGTAGTGTGCATTTTTACGGACGGTTAACTTGTAGTCAGTTGAAATCTTATTAGGCCTACCTGTATTTAGAAGAGCAGTTCTAAATATAATAAGTAAGCATAGATTCAAGTTTCAACTTTCCTGATATGCAGGCAAAACTATTATTATACACATAACAGGGTGTCTAGTAGTCGGTAAAAAGGGGAAAGTCTGGATTTAGTATTTAATTGAATTACAAAATGTTCTTGAAAAGTCGGGATTTAGTCTTAATTTTGATATCAGTCAGGAAATTTCATGACTTTGCTGCATTCGCACTAGACGATGATCACGTTTCCATGACCGTGGGAGTCGATGATGATGTCTACATGGCCGCGGGAAATGTGCGTGATTTTGCCACAATCGCTGACAACAACGACGTTTCCGTGACCAATGATGATGTCTACACGGTTGCGGAAAATGTGTATGATTTTGCCGCAATCGCAGACGACGACGATGACGTTTCCGTGACTGAGGGAGACGACGATGATGTCTAAACCTCCGCAGAAGATGTTCACGATTTTGCCTCGATCGCGGACGATGATGATGACGTTTCCGTTACCAAGGGAGTCTGTGATGCCTACGCCCAAAATGGCCGCGGGAGATGTTCATGACTTTGCCGTGATCATCGCAGGAGTCAATGAAGATGTCTACACGGCCGTGGGAAATGTTCACAATTTTGTAGCAATTATAGACGACGACAATGACGTTTCCGAGACCACGGGAGACGGCAATGATGTTTCCGTGACCGAGGGAGACGACTTTGATGTCTACTCGGAGTGGTAGACGCTCATGATTTTGTCGCGATCGCAGACGTAGACGTTGATATTTTTGTGACCGTGGGAGTTAATGATGATGTCTAAATGGGCTTTGGAAATGTCCATAATACAAGTTTTGATGTTTAGTATTTTTCCTCTGTGCCTTTACTTCACCATCACCTCCAGTCTTGCATTGCCTGTTGAAAGTGATTAGCTGACAAATTTACTACTGACTGTCTTTGTACTTACTACATTGATATGTTTTTAAAAGTTTAAATTAAACAATTAGTTAGCCGAGATTGTCTCCCGTGATATACTCTAAATGAGTATAGTAGTAGCCTACATGTCTGTCACTTGCCAATTTGTATCTCAATAGGGGAAAATTACAATCAGCAATAAACATGTAGTGGCTAAATAACCTAAATACAGACTTGGCTATCTCAATAGGGGAAATTACAATCAGCAATAAACATGTAGTAGCTAAGTAACCTAAATACAGACCTGGCTATCTCAATAGGGGAAAATTACATTCAGCAATAAACATGTAGTGGCTAAGTAACCTAAATACAGACCTGGCTATCTCAATAGGGGAAAATTACAATCAGCAATAAACATGTAGTGGCTAAGTTACCTAAATACAGACCTGGCTAGTTAGATAGAATTTTTGCAATAGATTCTTGTTCTTGTTCTTGTTGTGTAACCCTAAATAAGGTTGTAGCAGAGGGAAAGATATTTAAAGCTGCGGAAAAAAAATAATTGGAAGATAGGTGCCAAGATGGAGTGATATTGAATTGATTGAATGATTGAATTGATTGAATGATTGAATGTGATTGGAGAGAAAAGGAGAGGGGAGAGTGTTTGCTCAACCACGGCGGGCGGTTGAGTTGAGCATGCAGCCCGGCGTTGTAGCTTGCAGATACTATACCAAATAGCGTGCCGCTATGTGTTACAAGATTATATTTTAAGTAGTAAACTCAATATTCTCCCTAAAAATAATTGTTCTTCTTAGACTTGTTGTAAAGTCCTGTATTTTTAAAGTTTTCTTATCACCATTATAATATTATTACTACTGGATTATATTAAGTTAACCACCTTTTTCGCAGGACGACCAATGAAGATAGAACTGACCACCACGGATGTTGGTCAAGTGTTAAACAGAGTGTCTGGCGGGGGAGGGTTTGGGGGCCGCAGAGGAGGTGGTAGAATGAACCAACGCGGCACAGGCGGAGGCAGAGGTAAAAATACTAATACTTTGCAAGAATGTTTTGAAATATCAGAGAGCACAATTTTATACCATAAGAAAGTAGTGTTGTAGTACTGTGAGTAATTTTTATTTTATAAATTAATTTTTAGCTTCTATTTATTTATTAAAAAATTGAAGAATATGGACCTAATCTGTGACGTAATATAATCTACTCTCTATATACAGGGTATCCGGTCATAGTGTTAAATAAAATTAACCGTCAAACTACATGGTAATAGTGATTGAATGATGCCTATTTGAGGTTTCCAACTCAAACAGTAAGGTAATGAAAGATAAATTAGGGTAACAAAATAATAGTAGTTTTTATAAGAAAATCTGTATTACTATGTAAGAGTGACATGTGTTGTTAAAATAAAGGTCACTTTTGAAATCCTCACAAAAGTTAAACATTTTTTTGACAAAAGCTTAATAAATAATATTAAAATCCTTATTTCTAGGTTGCAGAGATCCGCTGAAGGTATCAAATATGATCTAAAACTTCTCATCAAATAAGCTTTAAAATGATGTATAATAACCTATAATTACCATCACAATGCATAGTGAAATTCTTGCATCATTCTGAAAATATATGGTCAGGCTAAAAATAAGTTATTTAAAGAATAATTGAACAATAGTAGTTTTCATCACTAGGAGCAAAAATGGCTCTTTTTGGTACAGAAATACAATTAAGTACCAAAAAGACACTTTCGCTCTGTGTGATTAATAATTATTTTCATCATACTGTGTAAATAACCTTCATATCGTTACAAAATTAGACCACATAAATGGAGGTTATTTTACAAAGTCGTCATCAATGTTTACATCTTCAAATATTGTGTGATTAATAGCGTTTTCATAATGCACTGATACAATTTTAAGGTTAGCAAAGCGAAAAATTTACCATATTTCCCTATTTGAAGTTTTCCAAAAACGATGATTTCGCTGATGAATTAGAGAACTAAAAACGGCTGCTTTCTGGACGGTATGATGAAAACTAAGTGCAAAAGACCTTAACATACCCCTTACCTTGAGTGTAAATTTGTTTGGGGACCATGAGCATAGGCTACTAATAGTGATAAAATTATTGAGACATCCATTTACATCCCTAGTTTCATTGAAAAATGAATATAAGTAAAAAAAAAAAACAAGTACAGCAATTTTGAAGTCTGGACCAATTACATTGGTAATTTTTATCGGGTGCGCACCAAACTCTAAACTGGTACATTAACCAATAAACATTATTATACAAAAGAATGACGGGATTTTAAATGGTTATTGCTTGGGTACTATTCAAGGTAACTACCAAATTTATTCATTCTTATTATAGCAATATAAATTTTTTTTATAAAAAACTATCATGTTATAAAAAAAAAGTTTGTTCGCTTACTGTTTGATTTAGGAACCTCTAAACATCATTCAATCACCATTATCATGTACTTTGAAAGATAATTTCATTTAACACTTATGGTCGGACATCCTATACAGTGATGAGGAGTAGTCAACAAATAAAACTCATAAATCAAAGACATAAAAATATTATGATAAAATTTGGCCTAGTTTGTTAAACAGAACGGTTGCACGTGATTTATGTATATCAAGACTAAAAGCTGACCATAGTTTGTGGGCTTTTGATCTGACAACCGCTCATCATCCAAGTAGAATATCAATAAACTAGCAAATACAGACTTAGGTGTAAAATAAGTAATTAATTGTTCTATTATGATCGGCTATATGAGTTGACAGTCCTTAATTGCACATCAAAGTAATATATACTTTATTTGACCTAGGTTTCCGCCGGGGAGGAGGTGGTGGAATAGGCCGAGGCGGAGGAAGAGGAGGAGGCAGAAAACAGCAACCCACCCCTACAGCAGCAGAGCTTGATGCACAGTTAGATGCGTACGTTAACAAGATAAAGTGAAATACTGTACTACACAAATTGAATGGAAATTCTTTGCTATCTGCCATTTGGATTAAGTTATCATGTATCATAATTAAAATACATGGACTTCTCTGTTTATAGGTTTCTAAAGGATTAAGTTGTTTCAAAAAATGCAATTGTTTTATATGTTTTTGTGCAATATCACCTGAGTGGTTATATTACTCATTTTATATTCTCATTAGTCCATATTCAATTTGTCAACAACTAATTTTAGACTATAAAGTTTTTATGACCCTACCTGAGTACAGTGTAATTTGTTGCCTTTTATAGCTTTAGTATTAATTATCTCTGACTATTAATACAACTAGACATCCCATCCCCATGTTAAATGTTATGACCCATCAAATCCGTCAACAAAAGATAAGGTATAATTTTAAAATATAATTTTAGACACAAGCACATTCTGTGACTGGCTCACACAGCCACGTTCATTTTAAATAAAAAATTGGTGACAGCTAGTCCATATAGATGGGATGTCTACTTCAGTATCCAATAGTCAATGGTATATCTAATTTATTTTGCAAAGAGACAAGTTATGTAGTTTTTATACATATGTTAGTCGGGGGTGTAAATTATTCTTTCTACGTAAACCATACTATTTTAGGAGGTAGGAATGATGCAACAAAGCAAATAAATCAGATTTTTCTTCAACTGAGTATGCAAGAATGTAAATATTGTAATTTGATAACAACAAAAGTAGACCACTAGTACCTCGTAGTAGTTGGTAGTTTGCTTTTTGTAATAAGCAAATCATTTTGTTGGAAGCTTACATTACTTTCTACTTTCTTATCCGGGACAGTTTTTCATTTTATTTGCCGTACACATCTCTCCAAGCAATATAGTTTTTATTATGAATAATATTTTAACATAAAAATAATCGGGAAGCAAAGCAACTTAGCCTATTAGGAAATTGTAAATAATTTTGATACAGTGACTCTTGTACATATTTATATTTTTAAAGTTCAATTTTATTATTTATTTAATTTTTATTCTAAGCAACCTTTAAACCCCCCAAATAAATAAAGCTGGTTCATATCAAAGGAATCTTCGAAAATAACTCCAAATTTAACAATCTCCCTTAATTGTAAGATTCATGGTACAACTAACCGTGTTATGATTTGAAAGCAAGAATCGGGTCAGCACAATAATAACAATGTTTAAGCAGTATTCCTCCTACATAACAAGTCTTCTTAAGTCTTACAACTCACAATCTCTTTATTTTACTTTTGAACTGCAATGTGTTTATGTGGATCATGTTATTATTTTTCTACATAATGCATTTGATATTTAGTAGTTCATTATTTAATACTTATGTATCTTCCATTTATAATTACGATCTTCAACTCAGGACAGAGGAGTTCTCGCTTAATGAATTTCAACCCATAATGGGAGATCTATAAATTTATTTAAGGACAAGATTCTTTAGCCATACTACTTACAGGTTAAATCTCCTACCCGAGATACAGGTGTATTCACTAAAGTAGTAAATATATTATGCCTACTACTAGTAAAGATTTTACAAACAACAAAATTGTTATATTTTTTTATCTGTTGTTTGACTTTCCTAATAAATTGCAATACAAGTGCAATACTAGTAAAAAACGTCATTGCCAATAAATCTATGTAGGTCATATTTATCATCTTATCTGTTTAATTGTAGTTTTAAACTTTATCATGGACAAGAGACTAATCCAAAATAGAACAAAACCAACATTACAAATAAAAGTTCTTCTTTGTTTAATTCTCTTGTAATGTGGGGCATGTGTTTTATAATCATATTGAGTAAACTGACTAAACAAAAGTATATGCAAAGTTTATAAGGGGAATTTATTTGTTTTCATAGCAGGTAAGTCTCCTTTTGTAAAAATGAATAAAGGTGGTCTATGAGTCAAACCATTTAAAACCCTATTGACCAAAGTATATGAGATTTTGTTGCAACATCTCAGTGCATTTGTATATATTAAATCTTTTAAATACAATAATTTAGTTTTCTCATTTCATTGTCCTATAACCAAACCTCTTAAGTTTCACTCAAATATGTTTCCACAAGCAGATGAGCTTGTGACAACCCCAAGCCAGTCCCAGATTTAACATAACGCAAAAAAAAATTTATTCAAAAACCATACTTTAAATTTAAAAAAGAATTAGAAAGAAAAACTGATTTTGATTTATAAAATTACTTATTTGCCGCAATGGCTAGTGACTTTGATGATGTTCCGTTATCGTGGGAAATTCTCACAATCTATTTGCCATCATGGGTGACGATGAGGATGTACCCTTGATCTTGAGAGATGTTCACAATTCCGTTGTGGTCGCAGGGAAGCAGTGGCGGCTCTTCCATAAAAAATCTCTGTACCTCTTCTTCATTTTAGGCATAAGCACATGAAATTGCTACCCAATTCCCCAATGCAATGGAGCACAAACATAACACCTGTACACATAACATAACACCCAGTAGATCAAGGTCTATTAATCAGTAAGTTTTAACAAGAAACGTCGGCGTAAGTGTGGCGCCTGCAATCTGAGTGCAGTAAGCACAAACACTCTGGGCTAAGCTGCCGGCTGCGCAGCTCCAGCCTTACCAAACCAATGGTCACGTTAATTTCATGCGGGTGGAATGGTGGTTGCTTCACTCCCTGCAAATGTCTACCTGACGAAGCTACATTTTAAGTGTATTTTGATGTTCCTGTATTATGATAGTTTGACAATGGCGTTCTGCTGAAATGTAACTACAAAGTACAAACTAAAATTTTGGAACTGCAGACAAGGTAATAACCTTCACCTTATTTTAGTCTTAATAGCAGTTTCGGGGCTACAACAATGGTTTAAAGTTAAAAGAGGAGATTATGCAAGCAGACTGCTGCATGGGCAGAAAGCAGATGGCTAAAAGGTTTTAGAGGCTTACTTTGTTAGTTTTAATGATTCTGTAAGCAATGGCTATGGCTCAGTTAAAAATGTACCTTTTTTGGACCCACAAACACACGTTTATAACATTTGGTAGCTCTGATGATGTCACTGATTTGTTACTGCATATTAAATTTGTTGAGTTAGATTGTGGGTTTTGTTGTGTGGGTCGATGGCTCAGTAACTGTACAAGGTGATTCAGGGTCTTATTAGAGTTTATTGATTTAAAAGCAAAATATGGTTACCATTTTGACTCCCTTCCCGGTTGGTTATAATGATGAGCATTCAAAGGCGATTGTAAATAAGCTTGGTTTATGTGGTGTTGTTGAAATGCATTGCTCAAAACAAAACAATGGATTTGAGTGTGGTCTAAGAGTTTTGGTCAATGCTAAGTTTATTCTAGATTTTTATTGTAAGCATGTAACATCAAACTCATTGTTACCTTTCTTTGAGTGGTACAAGAGCTATTGTACAAATGGGGCCAGAACTGAGACTCCAGCTGCTGGTGAGACGTCACCCGCACCTGTGAGCGCTGTTTACTCACCTGTTAAGGCTGTCCCCATTGTACGTAAGGACGACTGGACTAATGTTAGGGTTAGGCCCGCTGCACATTGGAGCGAGGCGAGGCGCGGCTTATTCTGTAATACACGTGTTTAAATGGAACACCGCACATTGAGCAGAGGTTGCGCGCAGCACAGCTGCAGCCTCTGTCAGGCCTCCGCGGCATTGTAGTTGGAATACAGTTTTCCTGCACCTCGCTCGCGCCTGCGTTGGTTATCTAGTGTTTTGTGAGTGAAAGATATAGTAAGTCAAAGTCAAAACATTCTTTATTCATTGTTTTGTAGCGTAAGTACATTGAACATGCGTCATTTCTTAAAAACTAATCCTTATAATACAATTTCTGTCAATAAGTACAATAATGTGTTAAAAACACCATCATTTCTGTTGGCAAATATTAAATTTAAGGCCGTTAGTTATTTTAAAACTCATCTAGTGAGTATAATGCTCTCTCAACTAGGTGTTCTTTTAATTTTCTCTTAAATTTTGAAAACTCTTGATTTGTGTCTATTATGGTAGAAATTTTGTTTAAAAATTTAGATCCTATATAATTTGGCTTTTTCTCAAACATTTTTAATCGGTGACTTTGCAACCTTATTTTTTTATTGTTTCTTGTATTATAATGGTGGATCAACTGACCAGTCTCAAATTGCTCTTGATTTTGTTTTGAGTAAACAATAGTTTGATATACATAAAGACTAAATACCGTCATAATTCTTAATTCTTTAAACTTTTCTTTAACATGGTCAGTTTGTTCCATATTTAGCATTATTCTGATTGATTTATTTTGTAGTTTTAATATCTCATTCAGATTATTAATATTGGTTGCTCCATAAACATGTATATTGTAGGCTAAATGAGACTGAATCATACCGTAATAGACCATTTTGAGAGTTGTCAGATCACAAATATTTGTTAATGTCCTGGAGAGCAGACACACCTGAATTCATTTTTGCCAGTACTTTTGCAATGTGGGAGTTCCAACTGAAACTGCTGTCTATATTTAGGCCTAAAAAGGTTGTTTGTCGAACAGGTTCTAAAGATGTATTATCAATTTTTATGTTGGGGAAAGCAATTGTTTTGTTTTTGGTGGAAAAGTTAATATAATTAGTTTTAGAAATATTCAAAAATAAATTATGCTCAATTAAAAACCTTTGGATATTAAATTAAATTAATATGTATTAATGATATTAAAACAACATATTAATTAATGATATTAAATTAATATGTTGTTAAGCATTGCATTCCTTCCCAATAATGCCACTTTCAATTAATGGATTTCTACTATTGTTTGTTTACACCAAAATATTCTCTAAAAGATCGGTCTGGCAGTTCAGTAGTTAAAACATACTCTGCATGGCTTAATTTTTTTCATGATATCACATTTACAATAACATTTTGAGGTTTTTCGGATATCGAATAGAGTAAAACTAAATTTTAAACCCACAATCAAAATCAGCAAATGTCAAAAAAATCTCCATCTATTCGCGACAGTAGGACCAAAGCTAGGAAACCTCTGTCCCGCCTCGCTAGGAGGGGTGTTAAAAACTAAAGCAAAGAATATAAATAAATTACCTCTAATTACATGTAAGAATAGGTTTGGTGTTTGAATCAGCAGGAACAAGGTTGTTACAGTACAAAAACAGTTATAATTTATTTTTGTAAAAAAATACAACCGACTTCAAACGCTCTAAAAAGAATGAAATAATTTCAATAAAGTAAACTTTTGTATTAGGCAAGCTCACGTATTTAAAGTCGGCGCGGCTCTATGATGATTTTTGATACAAAATTTAAAGAGGGTGTCCATATTGCAGGTGACTATCTATAACTAAAGTGGTTAATCTGCATGTTTTTTTCATAGTTATGCGTTAAGTGTTATTTTATTACCGTAATCAGAGATCGGCATCATAGTGGTATTACAAGTATCTTTAAAAATATTATAACGCATTTAAATGTTTCTAACTTAGAAAAGTAACGTTTTAATACTAAACTAGCTTCTTTTCCCTATCACAATATCAAACTAAATTATTTTCCTATTCATATAGAACATTTGTGTGTGTTATTTTCATAATGCATTTATTCTGAAGTAAACATAAAATACAAGAAAATATTTCCTTTAATATATAAACAAAACAGTTCAGAATGTTTTTTATATATTTATGTTATCCAGGTACAATTTATTGATTTTCAAAATACACACACAATATTTAATTTCAATCATATTTGTAGCTTGAGCCGCGCCGACTTGAAATACGTGAGCTTGCCTAATACAAAAGTTTACTTTATTGAAATTATTTCATTCTTTTTAGAGCGTTTGAAGTCGGTTGTATTTTTTTACAAAAATAAATTATTTCATGATTTTTAGTGACTGTATATTTTTTTATGTATTAATTACTTGAGGTTTTTTGATAAGCAAAACTGTTTGAAACAATCAAAAGTTCCACAGAACAATCATTATTTTAAAACTGCTTGAGTCACCTGTTCAGGTTACATAATCAATGGGTATGAAAATAAACATTTTTAGATATTCCTTAAGAAAGAAAGAGTTGTCCATTACATTAGGCCTAATGAAAAACTAATTGTCTTTTCTAGATACATTGAAATGTCAGACATCATCGTTTCCTGCAATCGGTGTACTTCTACATTATAAAAAGAAATACGTCTCAAGCCTTTTGGAGCAATATGAAAGCTATTCCTCAGCTACCAGCACTAAAAAATCTCTCAAAAGTGGAAAATTGGTCGTTAACACGTATAGTACCTTTGGAAAATATTATATGAAAGATTGGTTCAGCTAAAAGTGGTGTAAGTCATGTAGGGGGTTTTGTTTGCTCAAGATATAGCCTCGACGAAATTGCAAATCATCTTCCTCTAGGACCCTCCGAAGCAGGCATGATAGTATTGATATGTTATAGCAACTGGGTAGAGAATATTAATAAACATTCCACATCTGCAAATGAAATATGTATATGAAAGATTGGCTCAGCTAAAAGTGGTGCAAGCCATGTAGGTGGTTTTGTTTGATCAAGATATAGCCTAGTCGAAATTGCAAATCATCTTCCTCTAGGACTTTCCGAAGCAGGCATAATAGTATTGATATGATATAGTAACTGGGTAGAGAATATA